AAATAAAAAATTTTTTTAACTCCATCAAGATCGGTATTGCCGATCCATCAGGAATAGTATTTTTGCCTAGGGGCTTTCTGATCGACGTATGGCAAGGCGCATAGTAACACCGGAAATGATCTGCAGCTCGGGATTTTCTTGACATAAGGGTTTGTAGGATATTATAAATCAATTTGATTGGCTCAATCGAGCTTTGTGTGACCAAGTAGATATAAATATAATCTAGCCAATTATATTTATTTTATAATCATGTGACCAGCGAGCCATTAGTATCTTAAACCCGATAATCTCTCAAAACCGATACAAAAGCTGTCCACCATACCTATCGGATTTGAGAGGGTGTACTGTATATGAATTTGCTTGCTTTAAATTAAAAATGCATTAACATTATACACCAGAAATATCAAGAGCAGACATTCATATAATGATATGTATGTAAATTAATTGTCCGGTTATCTTATATGCCTAAGTACTTTTTAAGAACGTATCGTTCAATAATAAAAATGAACGTTAATATTCACGTATCATAAGCTTCTTTATATAAAGTATTCTAGTATATATGTGAATTTTTTTAAAAAATTGTGATTAATTATCACGGAGGGTAGACTATAATAATTAGCCAATCAGATAAATGTCTTCCCATGATAAGCAGTATAATTATAAATCCATCAAAAGCAGGTGTTAATTTCAAGCATGGCAATACTACGGAATTAGCATTGGAAAATGATAAAGGCAAATAAATATTAATGTAATACGAGTGATATATGTGTCAGGCATGATTATTTAATGATCGATCACTTTATCGACCGACCATACTCAAAAAAATTTTTTTATGATTGGCCACGATCAAACAAATCAAATGATCGATATTCTCTAATCGAACATCTCTACCTGTTGAATCGTCAACTCTGATAATTTATCATTTTCCACAGATATACTTAAATTTTTTTCGTTTGCTAAATGTAATAAACATATAAAACAAAATGACACGGATATGTCTTTCATTTTTTTCTCTGGATATATCTTTTTTAAATTCTTTATAACACTAGTAAATTTTTGTTCTTCAACTTTCTGCGTTGAGTCTAGCGAGTATTGGTCGCATGGAGGTTGCTGGTCATTATTTATGGTCGGTGTTTCAGATTCATTTTCCTGATTTTAATTAAATGGTTTAATAAATATAAAAAAAAAAATAATAATAATCGCCTAAGTGAAATCAGTATATGTACCGTAGTGTCCGTTAATGTTTTCCATATATTGTCTTTTAATTTTTTGACATCAATCCGTTTGGCAGTTTTAGCATATTTTATATATTCCGGTTTATTCCTTCTTGCTTGTGATACTAAATTATCACCAAACTCCCCTTCTATGTCTTCCTCAAATCCATCATCATCATGCAAAAATGTGTCTCCAGTAGTTACCATTGCTAAAATGCAAATGATAGACATTAGTAACTATATTTGTTCCTTTAAACAGTTAAAATTTTGAATAACTCACTCATATCGGGGAAGGATGTGTTTGTTGCAGGGTCATTATTTTCTTCGGCCCAGAAATTTTCATCTACTTCAATGTTATCAGCTAAAGATAATGGTTACGACAAAATAAAAGTTTAATTAATAAGTATTATAATTAACAAACATGAACTAATGTTTCTTACTTTCAGCAAGTTGTTCTTCATATCTACGTCTTGCTTTCAACTTTGTAAGAAATTTATAACCCAACTTTAGAAAAATAATACATTTCCTTTAACCGTTTTTGAATAAATAAAATAAATACCATAAATCCAGGCTTTAAAAATAACTGGAGTAATTGTTTTGATGAAAAGTGTAGATCATCGGGAAGTTGATAAGCATGCTGAACATTTTCAGCCAATTTGGGTAAAGTGATCGAATTCCCAGCAGAAGCAAAAATAGTTCTTTCATTTAAGTCTTCTGAATCAATAAAATCTATGGAAAAAGGTTCTTTTTTTTTTCGTTCCTTTGGTTCGCCATTAGCGTCACCTGGAAGTAATTATTTAAAAGAGCAGGATGAACATCAATTAACCAAATAAAAATAACAAGTTGACAATAATACAATCGATACCTCTGACAACGCGTTTTAATTTCCAGTGATCTGGACCAACCCAATTGCATAAAAATGCGGAATCAAAATATTGAAATTCATTTGTGTTATTAACCATGGCCATAATAAAATCATTTTCGGTAGGTCTCCCCCTCTGATCATCGTCGAATCTTTCAAAAACACCAGATATGCCATCATCATCGTCATCTCCACCACCACCACCATCTTCTCCACTTAAAAAATTATCATCAAAAAAGTCAGGATAATTTTCATCATCGACATCATCGGCGATAACTTGATCTTCGTCATCATCCGATAATTTTCGCGTAAGAAATCCAACGTCAACAGAAAATTCAAACGATTTTAATGATGGACAAATATCTTTAGTGAAAATACTTGAAAGTTCAGGAAAAATTTTTGCTGTTGAAAAAATATATAAGAAACCATATTCCGTATATGCGATAAATATAGTCATCCAAAAATGACATTAATCATAAAAAGAATAAGTATATATACACACAACGAAGTTTAGATATATCAATAGGTTGCTCTGGAGAATCTTCTTCCATTGCATCTCTTTCATCATTTTCATTTTCTTCAGCTTCGTCCAGAGTGGCATCGCTTGCATCAAATATAATCTTTCCATCAGTATCAATCGACAAATGATTTAACAACAGTCCTTGAGCACCTCCTTCATCAAAATCAGCCGAAGTCTTTTTAAATAGAGGATCAATAGAAAATTCCAAATCAAATTTCTTTACTGTCAACTGGGAATAATCTTTAACTAAAGTTGCAGCGCTGGTTGTTGAGGTCTAAAGATAATATATATTTATATTTATATTTAATCGATTAAAGTAGAATAAAAACATTTTAGTAATGTCCGAATTACCTTCTTACGAACGGGTCTCTCAGAATCAGCATTATCATCATCACCATCGGACAGGTTATTTTCATTATTTTCTACATAATTATGTATCAATAATAATAATAATTAGAGATATTAATCACGATATTCATGAGATGATATATAAATTTGACAATAAAAAAATAAAAAAAGGACTGATAAACTAACTTGAGCTATCGGCTAAACCGCTCAATAATTTTCCGGTTTCAGTGGCAACAGAATCAACACGTGATGTATAGATCTTTACACATCCATCCAGAGTGCAAGAGGCCTTTTGAAAATTTATTGAATCACCTTCTTTCAATAAACTCATTTCATGAAAATAATCGATTAGGGCAAGTTTCCAACTATTGTTAGCGTTAATTTTCTAATGTTATTTAAAATATTCGATGAAATACTGAATCATTTTTATTCACAAAGTTTAATGAAATTACAGATTAAAAAAATAAGGAAAAATTGATACATTATCGGTAGCCATTTTCATCCATTCTTCGAAATTCAAATACATTTGTTCGACAGGTATCTGTGGTATAGGGGTGACGGCCTCTATTGACAGGGTACCTACACGTTGAGGAGTAGACATTCGACTGCTGGAAGCATGTTGGGTTTCAGAACCCGAAGCTACCGCAGATGGAGAAGCAAATAGTAAGGATCTCCGTACGGAATCTACTAAAGATTTTCTTCGATGACGTTTTTCTGATGCATCGTCATTTAAAGGGACAGTAAATTCTCTCTGATTTTTTAGGGGTGAGCCAACTGAGTGACGTCGCCTTGGTGTTTCTGGCATCAGTGAATTTAATATGTTAAAAAAAAACGGCGAGAAATGTAAATCAGTGTTTCTATTTTTTTATTCAAGTGTATCTGGCGCGTTACGCGTTTGATCACGAGATTTAACTGGCCAATCATATTGATTTGATAAGATAATACGTTATATAACACAAAATTAGCCAATCCCAGGTGCGCCAACAAAATTTTATTGTCACGTGATGTCAGACAAAATTCTTTAAGTTCGTTTATGCTAGGTCTAGGGCCTATTTAGTGTTATAATTGTAGGTTTTAATAGTAAAATCGTTCAAGAAAAACTTTTTGTTAATGCGCAGGAGTTGGGTTCCTATGCAGATTTGAGTGACAAAACGAACGTTTGTATAATGTTACACCAAATCGAACTTCATTGGCTTATTTTTGTCGATTATCACGTGACAGTAAAAATTACTTAGTAATTTTGTTGGTGACTCTGGGGCGCCAGGTTTGTAGGTTTATACGAGTCTGGTAACATCTACAAAAAATTTAATGTTAAATCAAACCAATTGAATTAAGTGAAAGTAATACTGTAATAAGCTTCACCTTTAGAGTTAGTAATAAGGCTAAGGCTTATATTAAAATTTCATAAAGAATTTTTTTTGTTAGAATGCAGAAAGCAATTTTTTAAAAAAACATGATTTTCATATTACACCTAATTCTTTTATATAATTGGCTAAATTTATATATCAGAAAATTTTTTATAGATAAATTACAGGAGTTTATAGACATGTACTAATCATGTGATTTTGCATATACTAATTACATAACTTTGCATATACTAATCATCATGTGATATATAACATATAGTGAGCTTCACAGCAAAAAGTAATAATAGGCCAAAAAAAATTTTTTAGTTCATCACCACCTTTTATTATAAGGCCTCCTATATATAAAATATTAAGTTAAAATTTTAAAAACAAATTTTTCTACAATTATCTGATAGAATTTAGTAAAAATTTTTTAAATTATTCTATAAATTAGTAAAATTCATTTAAAAAAAATTTATTGAATTTTGCCAAGTATTGTTTAGAAATTTTTGTACAAAGTTTGGAAAATTTGTTATCTTCTAAAAAAAAATAATTTAGTAATTTTTTAAATTTTGAGTAAAAAATTTTTTTTTAACTAATTTTTTTAAAATTTAAATTTTTATTTTTTTATTTTTTTATTTTTTTTTTAGTTTTATAACTAACCTCTTTGGAACTAAGATTTTTATTCAAGTTTATAGGTGGGAGGTTTACTTATAAACCTCCGTATATTTATACAAATGCAACCCAGCTTGTTCACTAATACCTCCCTGTCATAATTATCTGTTATAAGAAGTCCCAGATACTTTCTTTATACCCTTAGGACATATTTATCCTTGAGATATTATTAGTAGAGATTAGAACCGTTTAATCATTTAAAAGTTGCTCCATAGTCCTAGGTGGAATTATATTGGTTGTGATCTGAAATTATTTTAATGTTAGCCAAATTAAATGGTTAAACAATTAAACAATTAATGATTAAGAAAAATTTTAGATAGTTCCAATCTCTAATTATTAGCTAGAGCTTTTCTTATCCACAATCTGGCTAATTTAGACTTTGATAACTTATGCTGAGTCTAAGGACAAGTACTTATAAGCTGAAACCGCTACTATTACCTACTTCTGTCCTTGCAAAGTTCACCCAAATCCCAGCATATACTTTACAGACTATCACTGATATCTATGTTTTATCAGTAACTTAAACTTCCAATCCAGATAGCTCAGAGAGGCTATGACCTGCCCTGGTCCTCATGGTTGAATCCTTTTCCTTTGGTTACTTGTCTGGTGACTTGGTTGGTATAGTGTCTTGCTAAATATCAGTTCTTGTCTAGATCACTGAAATTGATATCCAGATCCCTTAGATAGCCTTTTACATAGTACTGTCAAAGATCTGTACTACTTCTCTACTCGAGACTTGCCAAGTGGGTTTCTGTGTGCTTCAATACCTGGATTTATACAGCCATTTTACTCAGATTTCATATAACTTATGCATCACACTACAGTTTCACAGCTTCCTAATAACCTCTGATACAATCAAGTTTATAGATCTGATGATCTATCAGATTATACACAGTCTGCTATAACACATTCTGTAAAATTTAAATTTTATCACTAGTGAGATTTGAACTCTTGTCTTGCTGCTTGGAGGTGCAACAACTTGATCACTTCACTAAGTCATCACACTTAAATTTAAATTTTTATTTAAGTATTACTAAGTAGAAAGTCTATAGTCAAAGCTTCAAAGAAATCTACTTATATTAAAGAATACAACTAGCTATATATACAACTTTTTGTTATTTATTTAAGTAGTCTGTATATTGATATTACACTATAAGTTCTATACTTACAATCTAATTAGTGTTTATTTATTTAATCCTTTATAATGTAATTCTATCTGTATTATTAGTATATCACTATTATAATTATTAGTCAAAAGAAGTTTCAGTTGTTTACTATTGCCTTTAGAACTAATTTATCCTCAAGACATTGTTGTTAGAGCTTTTTATATCTATAATTCAGCTAATTTAAACTTTGGTAATTTACACTGAGTCTGAAAACAAATACTTGTAAGCTAAAGCTGCTACTATTATCACTTCTGTTTTTGTTAAGTTTATCTAAACTTCAGTATATACTTTACAGACTATCATCCATACTCTCAGCCACTAAACTTTTAATCCAAATACCTGAAAGAGCTATAATCTACTCTTAGTTCTCACAGTTGGTTCTTTTTTTCTGGTTTTTTCATTTAGCAGCCTAGTAGATAGAGTGTTTGCCAAATACTTCAATCCTATTTAAATTTCATCAGTTTCTTGGATGATAATTCTTTATATAGTATCATCAAAAATTTGTGCTATCTTTAACTTGGATCTTACCAAGTGGGCTTTCATATTCTTTAATCTGTTAGTTTTATATAGCTGCTTCACTCAGGTTTTATATAACTTATACTGTATATTACACTATAGTTTTACAACCTTTCAGTATTAGCTAGTATAATCATATTACAGATATAGACTCAATAGAATATAATCTATCAGTGCATTCTGTAAATTCGAATTTTTTACTAATAGGATTCAAACTCTTGTTCTGCTGCTTAGAAATGTGCCAACTTTTTAATTATACTAAATCACCACATTTTTAATTAAAATTTCTTGATAATTATCTAATAGAATTTGATAGAAATTATTCAAATAACTTGATTAAAAGTTATTTAGCTCTCGTTCTAGCCTGAGTGATAGTGATGTTTGCTTCTAATCAGCTCTTATCTTGATTTCTATAAATTAATAAAATTTATTTAAAAAAATTTTTATCAAATTCTGCTAGGTAGTTATTTAAAGTTTGAGAAAATTTCAGCTATAAAGATTTTTTTAAAGAGACAACAGAAATTTTTTTAACTATCTAGCAAAATTTGATAAAATTTTTTTTAAATAAATTCTACTAACTTATAGAATTTATTTAAATAAATCTTATTGAATTTTATTAAATTATTGTTAAAAAAAATTTATTTAAAGTTTAAAAAATTATTGATATAGTTTTTTTTAAGAGTTAACAAAATTTTCTAAACTTTGAACAAAAATTTCTGAACAACTATTTGGTAGAATTCAATAAATTTTTTTAAATGAATTCTACTAATTTATAAAATTGATTTAAAAAAATTTTTTACTAAATTCTATCAGATAGTTATAAAGAAATTTGTTTTCAAAATAAAGAAAAATTTTATCTTAGTATTTTATATATATTATATATTCAGTATATACAAAGTTATATGATTGATACAGGTTTATAAATCTGTGAGTCCTGGTGTAGTTCAATTTAAAGCAATTATATATGATTGTCAATCAATTATTTCTCAAGTTTCAGCAAATTAGCCAATTAGATTATAAAAAAAGTTATAAGATTTACAAAGATTCAAAGAATATATTATAAATAGGGCTGGGAGCACAGCAAATTTTTGAGGCATGCTTCTGGAAGCATGCCTTTGCAAAGAGTATGCTCTTCTATGCCCAGGGTATATCCTCTATAGATATATATATTATATATTATCGTAATTAGCAATAGTAGATTTTAATTCTAATTAGCAAATTTGATAATTAACTAATTATATAATAGCACTATATCATATAATAGGAGCATACCTTTTGATTAAAGGATATGCTCTAAGCATGCCTCCAGAGGCATGCTCTATAGGACATACCTCTTAACCTTATACTCCAACCCTAGTTATAGAGAAAAGTAAAAACATTAATTTATTTGTTAATAAGCAATCTGCAAGATATTTGGCTAAAAATTTTTTTTATATATATTCTCATTTTATAGAAAATTAAAATATCTAAACTTAAATTTTATCAAATGGCAAACATTTAAATTAATTCTACCAAATCTATATTCATCTGTAACCAACCAACAAACTCTATCTTATTTTGCAACTCTTTACTCAACTTAATATTTTGCAACTAGCTATTCAAATTTCTAGATTGTTAGTTTACACTTAATAGGCAATCTATCTGAGACCTGGACAAAAATTTTTTTTTATATATAAATTTTACTATTCCTTAAACTGTAAGCTTTTCCAGGCAAATTTGCCTGGAAAATTATCATAAATATTGTTATGATCTACTTTTTT